TCGATGCCGGAGTCAGTCTTCGCCGCTGGACAACGACATCTTGACTTGGATGCCCTCGCTCTTCACGTCGCTACACAGGAGGGCACCTCGACCACCAAACCAGCAGCCATGAAGCTACTAACCAGCAAGATCTTCGACTTCCTCATCTCCCTACGGCCCACCACTACGACTGACCCAGCTTCAGCCAGCTCCAGCAACAGCTTGCTGTCGCACACAGCCAACTCGCACAGCAAACCCCATCCCCTTCTCCTCCCCCTACACCCACATCATCCGGCAAGCGCCCGGCTGACCCCTCTCAGGCCTCCCTTCTGGACTTCGGCACGAAGCGGCCACGGCTGACCGCGCCTGACACCCCACCACCTAACGTTTCCCCCGCCCTCCCCCTCCCCGCTCGCACTGCTGACGACTCCCCTTCTCCCGGCCCCCCCCACCCATGGCGGCACCCCCCCGGCCCCCCCCACCCACGGCAGCACCTCGGCGGCTTCTCCCCTCCCCTCCCCGCCCACCTGGAAGGAGCCTTGCGGCGCCCCTCAGATGCCTCCCGTCTTCCCACGCATCGCACCGGCAGCCGCTCCTGCACAGCCCTCGGCTCGGCCTCCAGCGCATGTTGGTCCACAGCCTCGTCTGCGACCTGCTCCAACCCCCTCCCCACGTTTGCCAATGGCTCACCAGCAACTTCCCACCCGACATTTCCGACACCAAGGTCCAGCGATGGATCACTTCCCAGAAGATCAGCAAAGAAAGCAAGCAGGCCCTTAAATGCTGGTCCAACCTGCGCGAAATGGGCGACCACACTGGACTCCGACACCAGAACGAGCCGCCGTGGCGTACCAGTGCGAACCCTATCCAAACTAGGGTCATCGGCCCTGGGCCGCATCCTGGCCGCTGCAAGCCACTTCTGCCAGTGACTCTCAACAGCACACCGACAACGACGCACAGCCAAGCAACACATTTTCTGGCAACACCACTGCCGCCAATTTCTCACTGTCCTCCGTTTCACTCTCCGGTTCTTCCCAACCGACGACGTCACCGCACGACATTTTTGTTCCTGGCTACTCGCACAGCTTCAGCTACTTGACGTTTGCCATGCTTGCCCGACTCGGCCTGGATTCCCCCGCTTCTGATTTCTCATCTCAGCTTGTCCCTTCCGCGGTTTATCTGAGATTCACCAGCCATCCCAAATGGCAAACCTTTTTCTACGTCGGTGCAACTCGCACCTCTCTCATGGCCCGGGATCACAGCCGATTCCGCAAACTACTTCAGGTTCAACGACACCATGTGGTCAACTGCCGAGCTGGCCGTTTGATGGTGGGGGCATTTCGATGTTTTCCACTTTTACACTTCAGTGCCCATCCACATTGCCGTCCCCGAAACAGACCTCTTCGCCATTGAGCAGTTCCACATTCAGGAACTGCAGCCCTCTCTCAATTTTGGTTTCATCGAGAGACATTTTCGGCCACGCACGGGCTTCATACGACAATTGGACTTCTCTCAATCCCGGCACATGGGCTTCGCCACCATTTGGCGAAAGCGTCGCAGACTACGACTACCAGTCGCTCTGCAACAAGCTTTCCTGGCCAAGCGCATGAGCAACCGCCTGGACTTGTGGCGACTCTTGGGCGATCTTGGCAGCAACACCCTACGACGATTTGATGCCATCCGTTACATACGGAGCAGAGACTTCCCACACGCTGCCCTATACATCCTTCATCGCATCGCTACACACTTACCTGAACCACACCACCAGGCATGCATCTCTGCCATTCGATCTAGCCTGCGCTTCCGGGGCCTAATTCCACCCAGCCCCTCCAGACCGATGCTCGCACCCTTCTTCGCACATTGCTCCTTTCGGACTTTGCTTTTGACCCAGCTCCGCGGGTTTGTCAGATCCACCACCCGCAGTGCCCTACCTTTTCATGTGGCGCAACCACGCATCGTTTTCAAGGCACACCGGAAACTATCCAGTGCCTTGTTCTCACACCTCCAGGCAGCTCAAACCTGGAGTCTCGGCGAGCTGTCCTGCACGTGTACCGATCTCGCCAAGCGACACCCATCCCTCCCGAAGTGGCTCCGACACTCATGAGTTGTTCGACCCCGACACAGTCAGCATGCTTTCTGGTTCGATGCGCAACTCCTTCTTTCCTCCACGCGGGGTCTTGATGAATCGTCTGACCCAGGCGTTCCACCACTGGGCCAGGGCCAACAACCTGCCCTCGCTTGATCCATCAACCCTTTCCACTATTGTCGATTTCCATTCTACACGCTCATGTTCAAAAGGCTCTAACAACTCTGGAGCCCCTTGTCCGCCATTGCGAAGATCATGCGGACTCCCGACTCATGCTCTATTGCCCCGCCGTGTACGGCAAGATGCTGGACACCACATTCACGGATCCTGCCATCTTTGCTCCCTTGCGAGTCCCCTCCATTGAGATCCATCAACGCCAACGAGAAAGCATCGTCAGCAGATTCCGCGGTCGCTATCCATGGGCCGTGACCGGCTTCGGGCGGCCAGCGACTGCCTACATCCTCCCTAAGAGGAAGAAGAACTGGACCACTGCTCGACCCATCATCAGCTTCGTTGGCGCCTTCTTCCGACCCATGCTTGACGCTCTCGCCAAACTTCTCCACAGCATGGTTGCCACGGCTTGCCCAGACGCATTTTCGGGTGGCGACCTTTTCGATCTCATGCGGTCTTTGCATGAGTATCTCCGCCTCGGCCACACCCATCTGGACTGCCGAAACCAGGACCTTTCCGGTTTCTTCACTTCCATTGACAAAGACCGCTTCTTAGCAGCCTGGCGTCTGCTTTTGACTTGGTACCGACAGCGACAACCACATTCCACCACCACACCCCTCACTGTGGACACACTTGACACCTCTTCCACCACCCGCGTCTACAACGGACGCCGTCGCCGACACAAGCCTTGACATGCAGATCTTTTCTGTCGGCTTCCGTTCCTTCAGGCAAACACGCGGGGCCCCGATGGGATCCCCCGCATCTCCTGCTTTATGTCTGATGGTAATTGCGGTCGCCGAGCAAATTTGGGCCAACACCCATCCTACTTCGGGACCTCGCTCCTTTGAGGACACCCTCCTGCTCCGCTATGTGGACAACAGGCTCGTGGTCGCAACTCCCAGATGGTTTTCGACCCCGGCAGCCCACATCCTGTGCGACGAGCACTTCTACGGAGGAGACATCATTTTGGAGACAGAAGCCGCCCTGGATTTCTTTGGTTTTCGACTGGACCTTGAGTGCGGCACCATCTCCTTCATCCCCTCGTATGAGAAGCACAACATGCTCTCGCACCAATGATGCACAAGGAATCTGGATATTATTCCAGACGTACGCTGATCAGCCGGGTTTCCTTTCCTGAGTTTCAGCGAGATCACGATCTCACATTGTTGAAGTTGTACCACCAACACGGTTTCGCCTTACAGAAGAAAAAACGCACCGGCGTCCCTTTGCCACTATTTGAGATTGCGCCCACTTTTTCACTCTTTGTCCCCCGGAAGATTCCTACTTGACCTGTTTTCACACCGCAGCTGTTTGACATAAAACCTTTTGCGATCATGGATCCTGACACAGCACGCCAGCTGCTTCAAGACTTTGAACTCATCATCGGCATTGCCCAGCAAGGCTTCGCCACCATTCGCGAGTTCACTGAGGGTCCGGATTTCGCACCGGAAGCTCCACTCATTCTCACCGTTGAGGACATGGCCATTTCACCACCAACACCTCTCCCGACCCCCCCGGATGATCTTAATGAACAACCTCCTGATGATCCTGGCGAACAACTTCTTGCCGATCATGATGAACAATTTCCTGATCATTGGACTCCACCCTCTCCACCGTCTCCCCCTGACAAAAAGCGAGCTCGTCGCACACGTGACAAGACCTCCTCACGCTCTATGGCGTCCAAACCTACCCGTGGACAACGCGAAGCTACCCCATCGACCAGGACTGATGCCGCTGCTCGCTGCTGAGGCTGATCCCGAAGCCCCGCAACCTTGGACTGAGGAGGAGATTGATCTCCTCCGTTCGCTTAAGATCAATACCAAGGCCAAGCATGCATGGTCTGTCATTGCCACGAGACTTTCCCGCACAGTCGAAGACTGCAAGACTCAATGGGCCTTGCGCAAGTGAGCTTGCCCCACTCGGGGCCTTGTGTGTGTGAACCGTCCTGGAACACGGACGTTAAACCCTTCGAGTTTTTCTGAGCAGGGGGGCAACGGACACTCTGGGTCGCGTTGCCCAACGAAGACCGTCCAGAGTTGTCGTGAAGCAACACGGGACGCCGTGCTGTGTACCTGCAACATTTGATTGGCTCTGAAAGTCTTTTTGACCCTCTTCTTTTGCGGTTCCTGTTTGTCGCTGTTGCTTCCTGTTCGGTGTCGATGTTGTGACCTGTTGCTCTGCATTTGCATTCAAGCATTTTACTGACTGCGGTTTTCATCTCGGCTACTGAAGCCTCTCGAGATAAGTGTGTGTGTGTGTGTCTGTGTGTCTGTGTGTCTGTGTGTGTGTGTCAGCGTATTGAATGACATGTATATAATGTTTATATATATATACACACACGGAGACCGCAAGCCGCGAATGATTCTATGTGCAGCTGCAAGCCACGAGATAAAAAGATCCAGGCTTGAAGAAAACACAAAAGGACAATCCGCAGTTTGGGGCTCGCCTAGTTTACCACACAACCATATGGGCTTTGTCAACATCAGGGACATGTTCTCTAGTTTTGAAATCGAGTTTCTTTCAAACACCCTCATAGTGGTTTACCGAAATGAACCGTAGTAGGGGTGACGAGAAGAGGATATGGTCTGAACAACGGCCAGCCTTCCGTGGCAGAATGCCCCCCAGCATGTAAAAGGGGCATGGGCAACCCTCAGATTGCAGCTTCCAAATGTTTTTCCGTCTCCCTCTTGTTATAGGGCAACCTTTGCCCCAAATGCAACCCGTTCGCTCAGAGCTTAAAAGGAAGCAGCTGTGAGCTCGCCAGGCGGCGGGGGACGTGCCTCTCCGCGACGAGCTCCGGGACCTGTCGACCCGGCAGCCGTCAGGCGGAGACTGGGGGCCCACGAGCCGAGACTCCCGGTGCCCTTCCCGTCCCGGTTTCCCCGTAAAATCAACCAGCCAGTATGGCCACTGGAAGTCTGGGGAAGGGCGTGGTTCCTGAAGCAGCCCCAGTCCCTGTGTCAGGCGGGATCGGTCAAGCCTCCCATTTGCCTGTTTCAATCCTCTTGCCCATGCACATTGCCACGGAATACTTTCCTGGCTCCAGGCGTGCCTGTTTTCCAACGTTCCAGGATCCCTACGGCCCTATATTTCCCGCTTTGGGATGTCTGAACATCACCTTGGCATTTGGACGTTTGAACACTCCATCGGAAGATCTGGAGGGCTTCCAAAATCGGAAGCACAGGCATGTGAGGATTGGGTTGAGCCGGGAGGCTGAATGTGGGCCATCTTCCCTGCGAGTTGCCTATGCAGTTGCCAAAAGCATGTGCCATGCCTTTGAGGCCACGGTTCCAAGTATGAAGTGCATGACGTTGTGCCTTTTGAAGATGTCCATATGCTGAAAGCGGTCCCCCTATTGGCGTTCCCCCAGAAAAAGAGTTTCCTGAAGGTAAGGGGAAGCCTGCGACAGCCATCCCCCGGAGCGCCAGGGGGCTCGGCCTGGCGGCCTGACGGGCCCCCGCGCCTCGCCAACGACGGGGACACCCGGCAGGCCATGCGGCTTGAGGTTCGACTCGCCCAAATCGGTGTTGGTTGAAGCCCAAAGGCCTCGATATGCTCATCTTCGGGGAAGGCAGATGTGGGCTGTGAACCGGGACACAGATTGCAGGCCACGCCGAAGCAAGTTCTGGAGCGTTTTGAAGGGGTCTGGATTCTGGTGGGTTCCGGGTGGTGTTCCTGCTCATGAAAATACCACCTCAACCAGAAGGTCTTGTCATGGCAGGTGTAGAAGACGCTTTGCAGGGAAACAAAAGGTTCGACAAGATCCTGGCATCGGGCAAGTTTCATGGTGAAGATACTTCGGATAGCCTAGCTTGACGGTGGAAACGGGTGGTTCGTTGTGGCCAGGACCATCCGCACCAGTACCACTTCGACGCCAGTACCGTCGGGCGCTTGGGCGAGCTTGGTGTGCAAAGCGGACTCGCTCGGGTTGCAGTAACCTGGAACCTCCATCGTAGCATAAATTTCTGCCTCCCCCCTTGTTCGATACCAAAATTGACTCGACGTAGCACTTTTTGCCTCCCATTCGCTTCCGAGCGCTTTTTGACGATTCGGGCAGAAATCCCATTCGGCCGTGTTTTCTTCTTCCCCATCGTCAAGTTGAGCCAAAACGGGCGCACAAATGTGCAAAAAAAGTGCAAAACGAGCGCAAATCGGCGCAAAAAAGCGCAAACGAGCGCAAATTCAAAAAATGCTACGAATCGCAGGTAGCAAATTGCATTTGCGCGGATGTCTCGAGCACTTTCTGTTAAAACGAGCGTTTTTTTGAGAAGAACGTGTCACGAGCAAAAATATTTCGTAGCAAAAATTAAGGTAGCAATGGAGGCTCCAGGTAAGACAACTAGAGATTTCCCAAACAAAGCATGTGGCTTTCTGTGGCTCACCAGGATGAATCAGTGCAGTGTGTTGTAGAATTGTACAGCAATCCTGTATGTGCATATGGGAACCACAATGCAAGCTTATGTAATACTTTCCGGGAAACTATGTCCAGCCCTGTATTCACGCTTGGGCCACAGAACGAACCTGGTTCTGCCAGCAGCAAACCAGCTAGACCGAAGTGGTGGGTCTCGCAGACAAGCTGTCGATGGGGCCCCGACGTGCGTTGCCGCGTGTTCTTGCTGCGACCATGATAGGCTCAGAGCGGCAGGGAAGCCCAGAGAGAGAGAGAGAGAGAGAGAGAGAGAGAGAGAGAGAGAGAGAGAGAGGCAGAGAGAGAGGGAGGGAAGTGGGTGCGAGGTGACAGCTGATTGCCCAAATGTCACCAATGTTACTGAGACTTGCATTGCCAAAATCCAACTCGATGGGATGCGGCACCCGGCCGAGGGTCCCACTGGTGGGTGAAGTTGCGGCGTGTAGCCACGGACCCTGAGGCGCGGAGGGCGTGGTGCTGAGTTTTGCTCGGGACACTTCCCGACTTGGAGTTTTGGGGCCGAGGGCGGCCCAAAAAATCGCCCGGCCTCACCCCTGGGTCAATCAAGAAATGCCGAAAAACCAGGGGATCAGCAGCAAGCCTGCCCAAGCGGGCTCCCCCTTCTCCAGGCCCGTGCATCGCTCAAATTCACCATGTCCGAGGCGCTTCAAACTGCAGAAGTCGCGATGTGTTGGAATTTCCATTGGTTTGGTACTGGTTGAGCGCTGCCCCGTGCTGTTGTAGAATGGGCTGAGTGCTGATTTCCAGGATAACTTGTCCGTGTTCCCTACACAGTTTCCTTTTCAGGCCAGGGATATATTTTCCGAGCTTCGCCTGCCCATTTTTCAGTTTTTCAATTGCTGCCCAATCTGCCCGTGATGATCATGTCACTGAAAGGCAATGCAAATCAACGTCCACACTCGGCAGGTTTGAAGTTGGCTCGACATGTTTACCATTCACATACCCGACCAGGGGTTAATTCTTGTAGCCATGTCCGGAAGTGGAAGTGTTTGTCTTCTTCAAGAGGGGCAGACCGCCGAATTTGGCTGCGATTGCCGGAGGTGAAGCTTTGGTCGCGGGACTGCTGCAGTGAAAGCTATGGCCAGGGTCTCAGGATTCGACTGGCGGTCTGAGCTCCAAACGACACCTATCCATCCCAAAACAATCGGGCGCGTCCTTTTCGAGGGTACCCGTCCGTCTTGACCACCCCTTTTCAAGGATTCCCCTGGGCCAGTTGGTCATTTTGCCGGGCGATGCTGCTGTGTGTAGTTGTTTGCGGTTGGTTGGGCCTGGGCACAAACAACTGCTCTCTCTCCCTTGCCTTTGTTCTCTTTCAATTTGTGAATGTCTGCATGTCTCAATGCAGTGGTTGGAGGTGGGGCCAGGTGCGGATCTGGTGGTCGACGTCGACCGTTCTTGATTTTCCCGCTCTCCCCCCCTGTCCTCTCCTGATGAGGTGCTGGGGCAGTGGCCTGTATGTCCCATTGATGAACAATGTGGCGCCCGATTCAATCGACCATGGTTCGATTTTCAGGTCAGTGCTATCTAAGACCTTTCCCAGAATATCCCAAGATCCGCTTCTGTATGGAGGGGCCCTTGCTTGCGAGGCCGGCGTCTTTGGCTTCTGCTGGGCAACAGCTCGCAGCTCTCGCAGGCTCAGGAGTGTGCCGAGTTGGAGGCCGGTCGGGTTTTCGGGGGCCGCGGGTTCCGCGAGGCCAGGTCGCGAGGTCGAGCGCCTCGCTCGTGTTTGCGCCCAGCTGTCTCATGGCCGGGCGTTGCTTGCCTTTGCAAAGCTTCGAATCGTGTGCGTTGCGTTGCTGAAACTAGCAGTGGGCTGCTCGTCATTTGCCCCCAACGGCTTGGGCACCGAAGCCTGGTGCAGGTGGGTGACGACCAAGAGATCTCGAGCATTTGCCGCGGCAGCGGGGAGTACCTCTTCGTGGAGGCGCGGGGGCCGGAGGGAAGCGGCGCATGTCGATTCCCTCAGATCCTCTGAGGTCGTGTTTCCAGTCTCAGGTTTTGACTTGACCTGGCCTGGATTACGAGTACTGTCCTTGAACATTCCCTGAAAGAAGCAAGGGGGACTTGCCGGATTTAGAACTAATACGCAACACATTCATAAGCGCTTCGCGGAAGTAGAACCATCATCAATCTATCTTCCCTTGCTCATATGAAATGTCGATCCATTGGAGAAGCATCACTCGTGTCAATTTGACTTTTTGCACCTGTGATGCCAGTTTCGCAGTCGGGGGGTGTGTTCCTTGTGAGCCTATGGGATTCCTTGCAAAACGGTACCCAGATGGCGAAGTTGCCAGTGTTCTCATCTCCCTTACCTACCTGTAAAAGGAAGCCGCGCAGAGAAATCAACGCTTGTTGAGAATTCACCCTAGTTTTGAAGCAGATCCAGAGGTTCCCCCAAAAGCCTCTGCCTGACGATGGCCCCCAAGCCCTTCCTCCACCATCCCCATCTGAGCTCGGTGTGGCGAGGCTCGTCCCAGCGCCGGCGAGGCGGTGCTCATGCTGCCAGAGGCCAGGTTGTCAGTTGCAACCCTTCGGGTGGTTGGCTTCCTTTTGAGTTGGCTGTTCGAATTATCCGAAAAGGGGTACCCTCAAAAACGACAACCCCGCTTGTGCATTGAACACATATAACGCCAGTTGCCAGGTTGTTTAACCCTGGTCTGGGCTTTTTTGAGGTAGACACATGTTGTCCTGTAGCCACCATGTAATGTTGGCTGTAAAGCCCTCAACATTTAACATGTCGTTGAAACCCCGTGACGTTTATTGTAAACCTGTCACTTGTGTTGCAAAGCCCCGCGACGCCGAGGGTGACTAGTTCACTGCTGGCGCTGAGGTTTGAGTTGGGGAAATCAATCCAAAAGGAAAATGTTGTTGCTCCACAAGCACAATGTTGGTGTACCGTTTTTGTAGCTTTTCAGAGCTGGTTTAAAGGGAAGCCACCTATTCCAGTGTGAAGACAAACCCATATGTTTGTGTTTGTTTGTTTGTTTGTTTGTTTGTTTGTTTGTGTGTTTGTTTGTTTGTTTGTTCCTTTGTTTGTTTGTTTGTGTGTGTGGGTGTGTGGGTGTGTGTGTGTGCGTGTGTGTGATATGTGCGCTTGTGTGCACGTGTTGTTTCTAAGCGGGACCTCCCGTTTTGGTTTGTGTCCACACATTGGTGTTCTGAGCTTAGTGTGCTGGTCTACATTTTGATATACGAGGAAATATGTTCCCCCCCCCCCCCCCCGTGATGCAGTGTTGTTTTTTTCAGAGCAACCACAGGCGACTTGCAAAACCGGTACCTTGCTCCAAGCCCAGCCATGTTCAAGATGCTCCTAGCGCACAAGGCCCTTTCTGATGGAGCTCTCATTGGTCCCAGCGTCGGGGTCGACATCCACTCCATGCAGTTTGCAAGCCACTTTCACCACAAGAGTGCACCAGTGGTCTAGAATCCATTTGGAATGTCAGCGTAGCTATCTGGCAAAAATGGTCGTTTTGATATGCCCCAAATTGCCGACATTGCAGGTGCGCGTGCTGAGCCGAGATTGAGGTCGAAAACGACGCAACCCTGGCGTGCTGGGTGGCTATGTGGAATGGCAGGCTAAAACACCAGCTCAAACTCGGCTTTTTAAAGGTTGGCAAGCCCTGAGCCCCTGGGATGTTTGGAAGCCATTGGATGTTTCATTTACCCTGCAGAAGGGCAAATGTTTACTCAGGGGGAAGAACCACGAACAATAGAAAACCAAGATCAGTTGTGGATACAGCCTTGTAACACTTGGGTTTCCGCGGTGGGTTTTGCGCGTGGGCTTTTTCAGAAAAGCACTTTGGAAGTGGCTGAGCTTATCTGCTCCTTCCCCAAGGCCGTTTGCCAGTCAGTCATCGCGCCCGCCGCTGTACACTACTCCATCAGTTGCTGGTTCAGAGCAATCGGTTCTTTAGCGGTTCTGGTGCCATGACATGTCGTTTTCGCATTGTCCCTAGCCGGCTTTCATCTCAAAGTTTGATCTTGTGTCTCGGCAGGGTTGGGGCTCGTACCATCAATTTCTCCGACTTGGCATTCTCGATCCCTTCTGCACACGCACACACACACACCATGACTTATTGTCTGCTCATCTTGACCATTTCTCTGTTCACTGCACATTTATTCAGCTCAGAATGAGAAATCTACATTGCATGAGCGTGCGTGTCGCTTTTCCACATACCCGAAGGCAGACTCAAGCTTTGATGCACACATATCCAATAATTCTCGATTGTTGTCAATGGAACACAACCCCTCAGGAACTGTTTTTTGCAGCGTATCAGCGGCACTCTTCATTCCCTCAGTTCTTCTGGCCACTTGCCAGAATGTTTTATTCAAGTCCCGGAAAGTGACTTCATGGGGGCTGGGGGGGAGGGAGGGGGGGGAGGGAGCCCAAATAAGCCCCAACTAAGGCCTTATGAAGGGCTCAACCTCCCCCTCCCCCCCCAGCCCCCATGACTTGATTTGAAGGCGCAAGCCAGCGAGTTCCCATGTTCCGTCTCGACTTCCGTCTCGCGCGGCTGCCTGGACTTGGCTCGAGCACCGGCGAGCGGTGCGAGCCGCTCGGGGCGGCGGGGCCGCTCGCCAGATGCCCGCCTGGCGCGAGCGCCTGGGAGGCGGTTTGTTTGTCACGGCAGAGTGCGGGCCAGTGCTGGCGGTTTGTTGTGCTTCATTTAGATGCCAAGGTTTTGGGCTCTGGGGCCTTTGGAGCTGAATTTTTTGCCAATCCATACAAAGCCTGTGGAGGCACAACAGAACGGACATATTTTTGGCAGGGCAACTCAAGCCTTCCACTGCTTGCCCCGGAGCTAGACAGTGGGTCCCAGAAGACCATGTTGCGTTTCGGGTCTCAATCTAGCAACACCCCACGGGGTGCTGCTCAATGTTGCAGCCCTCTCACCAAGCTTGTGCACCAGACAAGCCCGGTTGCGCTGGATTGGCAGATTTACCCCCAGTTGCTCGGGCCAGGCGACTTTCCTTCCAATTATGCTATTGGTTTATGGCATAGGCAGCTCAGCGAATTGAAGCCAGGCAAAACTGCCCGCGTGGCCAGACATGTGGAATACACATCTGCGGAGACCTTGAGCTATACTCTTCTGCCCACAGCAGAAACAAACATGTGGTTCATAGCCGGACAACTGGCATAGCGATCGCGGCCAAGCCGCTGACTTTCCATGAAGACTGTGCACCCAATCAGGATAATGTGGATGCTTCAGAAAGTGGATCGGGCACCCTTTTGGAAGGGACATAGTGTTTCCATATGCGAGACTCATTTGACGCATGGGACAATGACTAAAGTGACTGAAGTTTCTCCGGGGTTACCGATGTCAAGGGCCAAGCAGAGAAGAGGAGGAGAGGGGAAACTGCATGTGTCAGAGCTCATGTCTCCAAGCTGAGTTTGGCCAGCTGTGTTGGCTCGAGGGTGCCTTGTATACATCTCAGTGACCGCATTCAGCACTGCAAGGGGAATCTATGGCATGAACGCCCCGTAGGAATACGTGGCTAATAAATTTGTAGGACGCTTCCCTTGCGCAACGGATGCCCGATTGGGGAGGCCCTTTCATCTTGGCTGGTGGCATCTCTTGGCGGGAGATCAAAATGGAGCCCAACCAGTTGGAAGCCGAAAGCTCCAAGTCTTCTGAACTTCCGGCCGAGGCCCAGCGATGCGACGGCGGGGCTCGAGAGTCGGACGGGAGTCGGATGCGGATGCAGACCAGTGCTTGTGGAGTACCTGTGCCAAGTTTCCGGTTGGATTGGGCTGTGTCCCAAAATCTGACCTGCTTGCTGAGTGGGCTGGTTGAGGGTAGACCTCTTCTCTTATCGGTGGCAAAATCGGTCGACCGATGTTGCAGGCCAATTTCAAAGGCATGATGCTACAGGTTGAGCCTTGAATGTTTGCATTGGTGCTGGAGAATCCTCTTACTTTCAACGGTCGGCAAAGTAAAATGATAATCCGGAGCTCAGCCAGCACAAATCTAGCTTTGCAACTTTGCTTGCTGGCAGCTTGCAGCTGCGAACGTTGGATTTCAGAATTCAAATCTAAGCCCCTTTTCTGAAGTCATGTGGAGGGTTTGGAGTGTGAGGCATTCAGTTGCTGACCCTGGCCAGCTGATGGAGCAACACGGACAGGATGGCTCATCATTCCACGGCGGACCCCAACAGAGGTCCAGCAAGGATCTCCAAATGGGTGTTTCCCAAGCCCTCCTTCCCCTCCCTTCCCCCCTCCCTCCTTGGCCCCCCCCTCCCTTGCTCTTCCCTCGTCCTGCAACGCCCCTTCCTCGTCTTCCTATCCCAACTTCGCAGAACCGCAGGCGCTTCTCGCCGCGCGTCTCGCCGCGCTTCTCGCCGCGCTTCTCCGCAGGCCGTCGCCATGAGCTCGGGGCTGCCCTCCGCCATGGGCCGGGACCGCCTGGCCAAATCCAGCGGCGCCCTCACGGCGCTCGCGGAAAGCCGCAGGCCGGCGACCGGTTGCGGTTCGGTTCGGTCGTTTCTTGGTCTGTGGCCTTTTTTTTTGGAAGGGCCACGCGAAGTTTCCCACAAGAACCAGGGTGACTCAAGCCATTTCCCGTTTCCATTAGGCAAAACCATGCATTTTGACCCCCCCACGCTCAAATGCTGGTTTTAAGAGAAACCTGTTTGTATCTTAGATCTGTCTTGCTTAGTTGGGTGTTGCCAAGAGGTGGATGGGAAGTTGATGGTCCAATCTATTCCGAGGCCGATCCCCCGTACGGTCCTTGGCAGCGGCACGAACTTTTGCCCAACTCCAAACACCTTCCCTGGCAGTTTGGGACCCAGCGGGCAGGATCCCATGAAGGGAAAGAGAAGCAGAGAGAGAGAGAGAGATGCGCCAATTGGAGGTGCCCCGAAGGCCGGGGTACCTCACGGACCAATGGTAAGCGCGCTTCCCTTTGGAGGATCCAGCCCTCCATGTTGGCCAATGATTGTTCCCTCAGAACAAGAGTCTACAGTTTACACGACTCGGTTTGCATGAGTGGTTTGTCCGTTCCCGCTGAGAGAGATCTAATGCCAGAGCCTTAGATGCCAATCTGCCACTTACCAATGTGCCGCGCGCAAGCAAATAGATGGATTTCAAGCACCAGCCAGAGGAAATCCAAGTCTTTTCATGTCAGAGAAATGCTCCATCTCGAGCATATTCCTCCGCCGGCTCGGCGAAAACTCGACCATATGTTGTAGTTTGACAGGTCTTCTGGCTGGCCTTGCCAACTTGCCCAGATGACACGTCCTCTTTGGCCAGTTTTTGATGGAAGAACGGAAGGATCAAGCCGTTTCATAGCAAACTTCAAATAACGTCTTCCTAGCTGACGGGGGGCTTCGAGCGGCGCTCGAGAGGCAGCGGGAGCAGCAGGAGCAGTTGCTGCACAAGGCGCAGGAGGAGCTCCAAAAGGCGAGCGAGCGGAACGCCTCGGAATCTTGGCTTACAGGTTTTGTACGCTTGAAGAATGATGGCTTACTGGTTTTGAAGTTGGTTGAAGAAACCATTTCATGGTCTGAATAATTAATCCATCTGCTACATTGGTTAGAAGATGTCTCTTTTTGCCCTCCAAATTATGAGTGGTTGCTCGACTCAAGTGCGCTTCAGAAACGAGGAACGATCTCGCGCTCGAGCAAACCCGACCTGTATTACAGGTGTCAGGCAGGACAAAGTTCACGACCAACACGTGGCGCACATGGTTTAGTTGGCAGCATCTTGAACCACGCGATGCTCACGGACGAAAGCCGTCCGCAAATTTGGAATGCAAAAAAAACAGCTTGCCACTAGCTAAAGGCTATGCTCGTGCCCGGAGCTCATTGAGCGGCTCGCGGGTAAGGTCGTGTCGCTTGAGTTCCCCACCATTTGGAAAAGAAAGAAGGTGTTTACATGTTGCCACACATGAGACATCGCAAACCTTACCGCACATCTGTGGTGATGTGGGGAGAACATGAGGACTATGGCCCAATTGTCCATGCCAATTTGGAGCAATCGCATCATTTCTGTTGTTCACGTGGATGCAATAGAGATGCGGTCCGCTGGCATGGGTACACGCAAGGGTTACTTGACCGCTGCAGAGTTCACTTGTGATGCCACGCATTCATGGCTTTCGAGTCACTGGAAGGTAGACATACAGGTGTTTTGCTTTTGTTGCAAGGAGGAGCCGATAGCTCCAACCCCTTCTGCTTCCCTTTCTCCCTCTGCTTTTCTCAACTTCAGGGCTCTGCCCCGCCTCTGTTCTTCTCTTCGGGTGTCATTTTGGGAGCCTGGCAATAGAAATGCTGTGGCCCGCCGGCGTTCCTCGCAGGCGGCCAGGCTCGCGAAGGCGGCCGCGCCCCCAGACGGCTGTAGCCCGGACTCGGGCCGGCCCCATTGAGGGTCAAAAAGATGTGGCGGTGGGTCAAAACCAATGGGATCCCATTTTGGGGTAGATGCTCCACCCATTTTAGTCTATTTTAGTTGGAATTGGATATTTTTTGACCCATGGCCCATGTCAGCGTTTTGCAGACAGGACGCAACATGCTTCTGCCATCATTTTGGTCAAGATGCAAGTTTCCAGACCACTGACATTCAACTCCTTGGACCCTCAGCCAGTCAGAAGGCGCTGTTTCGCAGCGCCTCTCTTTGCAAGCGACCGAGCTAGCAAGCAGCGGGGCCTTCAGTCACAAAGGAACTGAAGTGGTCAATGAGTCAGTGGCACCAAGAATCTGTTCCCACCGGATACAGGCACAAGAAGGGCTGCGGTGAGTTGTGTACTGCGCTTTTCGAAGAAGTTCCGCAAGACAACTCTCCCAGGTCCAGCGTGATTCCCAGGCCATAGAGCGACGAGTTGGCGGGCCTGAGCCAGCCGGCAGCTCAGCGATGCCAAGGTCCTACGACCGGTTCTGGGGTTAAGTCAGCAGGGGCAAAATAGTGAGTCCAGTTGTACACAGGTTGGCTCTTGCTCAGACGACTGCCATTCCAATCGCTGGGAAGCCTGGAGCAAAGGGCATTGGTCTTTGAGAGGAAGCACGTGCGGGGATGGAATGCTCCGGAGGCAGCCTTCGCTGTGTACGAATGAATCTTGTAATGTTCTTACAGATGAAATTGGATTTGCCCATCGTCCCGTCAAATTAAGAGTTGTGAAGATGCTTGTTTCCGTGTTTACAATCGACCAAAGGGCCAATTTGAAAGCAGCAGCGTATGAAGCTCGAAGGTTTGTTCGGGAGTGGCGTTTGATGGGCCTTCCCAAGAGGCACATGACAGACACCCGAGCGCCACTTTGCCGCTGCCGTTTTGGCTCGCCAGTCACGCGATCCCCAGAACCGTTCCGGCGCGAAACGCGGAGCGCGGGCGCCGTCCGGCAACGAACTAGAGGCGCCGGCCGGGACCCGGCTGCGCGCGGGAAGGGGAGGAACGCCGGCCGCGTCAAAGATTTGTCCAACAGTCTTTGAACGGCACCAAACACGGACCGCCCCTACCCAATGCCCGGCATGCGGTCGGGGTTGCTTAGGGAAGTTGCCGCTGTTGCCGCGCTTCAGTCATTTGGGGGAATCGCCTCAGGGCTTCAGAGAAGTCATGGGAAAACAGCCGCTGTTTCAGACTGCTTTTGCTGGATGTTTCCCGGCGCTGTCTTCGATGCCTGGTGCAAAGCAGAAGGCTCAGGCTGGTTCATGTGGCTACCGAGGGTCTGATGAAAGTTCCGGCATTGCACTACGCCTGACAAACCGAGCTAGAGGTGTCTCCATTCTGTATTCTTGGCCCTTCAAGAAGCAGGGTGGGTTCAGCGAGTCACAAGCAGCAATGTTCCCGCGTCCCGTGTTTTGAGTTCATGTTTGTCTCGTTCACCCAGCCTTGATTAGATGTTGCACACACATTCACCAGCCTACACTAGCCTACACTGGACCTACACCGACCCACACTGCTGCCAGTAGGGAGTCATTTCGCCAGCAGCTGTGAACGTAGTCGAGTTTGGTAGTGGGTCGTTTCTAGCGGGGATCAGCTGAGCTGGACAGAGTGTGTAGCTCTATTGCAATCGACAGCAAGACTACCTATGCGGGCAGAGCACTCGTAAAGCGTACGCTCAGCAAGCGTCACCAGTGTGGACAAACAATCTATGAGGAGAACAACTACGTCCAAAACGTGGGGTCAACATCCAAAGAATCGTGTCGGACATTTTTTGTTTTTTTACGTGGCGCATTGACTAGGCAGACCCAGTGTAAGCTGACCAGGGAGCAGGGCATTGAGTCAAGTTCAGCTCCAGGTGACATGCTCCGAAGAGTGGGGCCCTGAGACAGCAGGACCAACCAGCCGCGACGAGAACTGGCGGTGAAATCAAAGTGTTCAATGTTTCAAGTGGCCCGGGCTACTCTCAGAGCCCCTGCAGATCACTTCCGGGGCTTGCTTCAAAACACAGCGCCCGGAGACCCTTGCCGGCAGCGTTTGCCCCGTTTCGGGAGGTTTTGCAAACACCGGACCCATTTGTTGATGCCTTCAGGCAATAGACATTGCTGCAGGGTTGGAGGTGAGGTCGTTACGTAGTGCAGAGCCTTCAACTAAAGTTTCCGACAGTTTGTAGTGGGAAATCTGAGGGTCAGAATGGGACTAGGCTTCGGTCTCAAGGCTTCCGATGCTCCAATTGTTGGCTGTCAAGCTGCAGAGACATGCTCAGACAATTTGTAGACTTGTTTTGAGGCGGGCTATTCAGGCCCACATCCATTCTTTGGGGTGCTTTTTGAACAGGAAGAAGAGGAAGGCTGAAAGCTTGCCCCCACATGATCATGCCGAGTGTGTGGACAGACGCTTAGTTTGTTGGCATAATGATAAATGGTTCATGTGGGTAGAGGCTCACACCATGAACTAGTACTCAAGGCAGTCAATGGATTGTGAGGGGTTTCAATTCGTTGATTCGCATGGGAATAATCGACGTTTTCACTTTTGAGCTCAAAGAAGCGCTCGACAGAGCCGCAAGCGTTTGGAGCGAGGCCAGATAATGCCGGGATCTTAGGTGTCCTGTTGGCCGTGCAATCCGAAGTGAGGTATTGATGCTACTCTCCTCATTCCTGGCTTTGGGCAGAGCCACTCGTCCAATGGGTGGAGGGTCATGCGCTCCCCCACTCCCCCACTCCCCCACTCCCCCACTCCCCCACTCCCCCACTCCCCCACTCCCCCACTCCCCCACTCCCCCACTCCCCCACTCCCCCACTCCCCCACTCCCCCACTCCACCCCCTCGCCGGATGGCCCATGCCAAGGATGCGGAGCAACGCGGTTTCAAAACACGGAGATAGGCATGAGATGGCAACTGATTGTTCGACTGACCAACCTTTTTCAGAAGATGCTCCGAGAAACATTCAGAGATTCTCCTCTTGTTTCTTGGCCTTTCTTGGCCCAATTGCGCCGGGAGGCTTTGAGGGGTCGATGTTCTTTCAGTTTTTCGGGTGGAAACGAAGCTCTGCGTGAGACGAAGCAACTTGTTCGATACTTTTCCGCTTCGTCGCATTCGGGTCCACCAGCTGTCAGTGATCAAAGGCAAGCACCAATGCGGGGCTATCTGTCTTTCCGTAGTCTGCGCGCAGCTCCGTGCGCACATATTGCTGCATGGCAATGCCTCATGGTGCCACTTGTCTTCGGTAGTCTCTTGAGAATTGCGCAAGAGAGTTTCCTCGAGGGAGGTCGATGGAACGTAGCTCGAGGGAAGCGATCCCCGAATGTGCTCAGCCTATTGCATGGATAGTCCACCGGGATATGTGACCATGGGGCGTAGGGTATGCCTATATTTTTGAGCATTCGTATCGTGCAGAGTCCGAGCTTTCCACAGCGCACCTTTGCTCCCAGAAAGGAGCATCACTGGACATCTGCCCCACGCAGACTTGATGGCAGCTGAGGCAAATCTCAGAACAGCGAGCAGCTCGAACGTGGATGAGGCCGGAGCCCCAAGCTACTTGAGTTCATCAATTCAAAGCCTTCAGCTAGTGGAGTTCACGATCTTGCACATCTGGCAAAGATAATCCGGGGTAGTGCATGTTGCAAGATTGACTAAATGCACACTTTCCAGGTAGCCTCAAATGCGGAAGTTCCGCTCGGTTCGCTGGCTCTGATGAGAAAAACTCCAGGGATTCAAAGCGATTTCCTTTTACTTCCCGTTCAGCCTCCTTATCCATAGGCCGATGTTGTACAAGTCTTGACCTTATGACCATCTAAGACCACTAGGGTTGGGATAGTACAATGTATTACGTGTGCCACAGGATTGAGAGGATTCAGGCGGGCATGGGTACCCGCATAGCAATTTCATTCCGATCCCTTTCGAGGCCATTCCAATGCCGCTCTACCCAAGCAAAGACGCCACCTCTCAATGCATGGAATCAGACCGGAGTTTCACGTGGTTTCTGTCGAAATATTTTTTTGGCATTCAATGGTACATGCTTGTCGAATGATGCCCATTTGTGTGCAGCCCCATGTTTTAGCCTGTAGCACTATTCTCTTGTCACCGGCATACGTTGCCAATTGTTTCAATAAGATTCAGGCCAAGCCAACGCGCGACCATACGTGGTTGACAATATCATCACATATTCCGTTCCATCGTGACTAACCAATCACATACAATGTCCGGTTGCACCAGCCAGAAGCAGTGCGTTTGCCGCTGGTGTGTGTTCTCCTTTTCCTGGCAACGTCCTGCCACTTCCGACCACTCCTACAGCCCAAAATGCCTTCAGCCGGGCCACGCATAGGAGACGTTGCAGGCTATCATGCAGGAGGTGGAGCAGGACGAGGGCCTCCAGGCCCTCAGTGAGGAGGCGGCAGCTGTGATTGGGCGTAAGTTAGGGACCCGTTCAGGTGGTTGTGTTCCTTTTGGTTTTCTCTTGGACACCTTCTCAAAAGGGGGCCCCGATTTTGAGAAACGCCCTGTTGGTGTGCAAGGATCGTCAAGGGCAGACGGCTCGTTTCCATTGGATGCTGGTTTCGGGTGCTCGGGTATGAACATTTGTGAGTAGGCAACAAAGTGATGGTTGCACAACTCTTGAGTAATGACTCCCCACATGTTGGGGTTGCTCAAAAAGGGCGTGCCTTGCTTTAGACCCTTTTGCCCCCCCCCCCCCCACACAAAAAAGAAGAAGAAAAGAACAAGAAACGAAGAAGAAGAAGAAGAAGAAGAAGTAGAAGAAGAAAAACAAGAACAAGAAGAAGAAGAAGAAGAAGAAGAAGAAGAAGAAGAAGAAGAAGAAGAAAAGAAACACTCACTGGGTCCAAATTGGGACCTTATCTGCTGGTCAACAACACGAGTAAGCGAGGATGTGCCTTTACATGGAACGGGGATGTTTTTTTCATGTGTGTGGGTCATGCTGATGCTGCTTTGTGCAGCTATTTGGCTGCCATGGGAGAGTGGTGTGTTCCTCAGAAGTCGTCGTTGTATCCAATCTAGGTTCATTTGTGTTGCCATCTTCTTGAGTGTCCAGTTGCAAATAACGACAGGCTGGCACAAGATGCTTGGAGCGCACCATGGGATGCATTTGCACAGACGCCACTGTCAACAGACCCCGTTTCTTTTTCTGGCTTATCCCGTCGTAGGCCCCGTTGAGCATTCAGAAAGAGCGGATCGAGAGCAGCAATTTTTGAAGATTTCCCAGCTTGCAGCTTGAGCAAATTGGGGCAGCTGGTGGATAACTGTTGGCTGATTTGCCCACCATGTTGACGGCTCATTTCTGAATTGTATTTTTCTGAAGGAAGGCTTCTGTATCAACATGTTTCGGTGTTTGCTCCCGGCGAGATAGGTTCGGTTTCGGGAAGGCACCTGCTTCGGTGTGCTGATCAGCTCCGGTGGTTTGCCCCGGGCGCCTTCCGATCCTTTGCCAGGTGCGGCGTCGCTACC